CCCCCCCCCCCCCCCCCCCCCCGTGTCTCTGTCTCCATCTGACCCCGGTGCGACCCCTCCCCCACACATGTGTCTCTGTCTCCGTCTGACCCCAGAGCAACCCCGCCGTGTGTCTGTCTCTGTCTGACCCCGGAGCAACCCCGCCGTGTGTCTGTCTCCGTCTGACCCCGGAACAACCCCCCACCGTGTGTCTCTGTCTCCGTCTGGCCCCGAAGCGACCCACTCCACGTTTGTCTCTGTCTCTGTCTGACCCCGGAGCGACCCCGTCTCTCTCTGTCTGACACTGGATGTCTCTCTCTGCCTCTTTCTTTACCACCCCCATCCCTGGAGTGACCCTGTGTCTGGCTCTCACGCTCTCTGACCCCGGAGTGTCCCCGTCTCTGTCTCTAGCTACTACCCCCGCCACCCCCCCATCGAAGCCCCCCAGTGTGTATCTCCCACCCGGAGCTCGAAGTGACCCCGTGTCTCTCTCTCTCTGTCACCCGTTTACCCACCCCCCCAACCCCCCCTCAGGCAGCAGCAAGCAGTCCCCGAGCCCCCCGCACTCGGCCTCGCCTCACGGTCCTCCGACCCCCCAGCCGAAATCGCCGGTGACTCCGACCCGCGAGAGGAAGCTGTCGTCGCCGTCAGATGAGCGGAGGAGAGTGGTGAGCAGACAGGCCGGGGGTCGGGTCCTGGGTAGGCAGGAGCCAGAGGTATACCCGGCCCTGCAGGTACGGACCTGATCAGCCCGCTGCTACCGAGAGGGTGGGGGGGGGGGGGGGGGGGGGGCACAACGGGGCCACAGGGGTGGGGGGGGGGTGGGGGGGTGCTGGAATAACCCACGGTTGAGGGTGGGGGTAGCAGGTTGAAGGGGCTGAACAGCCTCCTCCCTGCTCGCTCCACCCACACACCTTCTGCGAGTGCGCCTCCTGCGGGCCAGCTCGGGCTAACGCTCGTTTCTCCCCTTCCTTACCCTGGGTGGGGGGTGGCTGACTTGGGTGCGGAGGGAGAGAGAGAGAGCTGGGAATGGTATAACGGAGGGGTTTGAGAGGGGGGTAGTGCAGCGAGGTGCTGAGGGAGGGGTGGTTCTTGCTTGCCAGCCAAGTGACCTCGCGGGATAGGGAGCCGTGTGTCTCGGTGGATGAGCTCTCTCTCTCTCTCACTTTGGCTATTCCAGCGCACTCGGCCCTACAGAGACTCCAGCATCTACTGGGAGATCCACAGCAGCGAGATTGCCATCCTGAAGAGGATCGGGGCTGGCTCCTTTGGCACAGTCTACAAAGCCAAGTGGCATGGTGAGCACCCGCGCACGAGGCACTGCCTCTCGTCAGCGTCTCTGTCTGTCTCCCCCTGTCCTCACCATCGCCACTTCTGTCCTTCGTCTCTACTCTACCCATCTGTGCGACTCTGTCTCCCCATCTGCGTGCGGCTCTGTCACTCTGTCTCCCCGTCTGCGCGTGGCCCTGTCTGCCCGCCTGCGCGTGGCTGTGTCACTCTGTCTCTGTCCCTCTCTGTCCATGCCCCATGTCTATGTCCTCCTCTTGTGTTTCTGTTCACCTCTCCACTGAGCAGATCACACTCTCATTGTCCCCAGTTTTGTTTTTCGTCCCCACATTCGGTTATTCCCATTTTTTTTCTTCCTGTTTTCCCATTTGCCTCAGCTCTCTCTCTATCTGCATCTTTCCCACTCTCTCTTCACTCCACGTCTCTCTCTCTCTCTCTTTCTTTCCCTCCCCTGCCCC